TTCTTTTCCTAATTCATATCAACCATCAATGGTCCCACAATTGAGTCATATTTATCAGATATAGTAATCCTACTTTGAACAAAGGGCAAATCAAACTGTTCCCCACTAAAAAGTTTGTCTGAATGGGGGTAATAACAGTATACTCTGCAAATATAGAATTAAGAGTGATTAGACAATTGATCATAAATCACTGAACTTTAAAAAGCTTAGTGATTGAGTGATGCCATGTAATTATAAATCCATGACCCTCAGAGATAGGGATGTCAAACAGGTTGAGCGGCTCGTCGGCCCAATCGCTCAGCTCATTAAAACTCGGCTCGTGGGCGACTCGGGCTCGTCAAATGATGAGTCCGAGCCGAGCAGGGGGCTCGATTCCAAGGCCCACGAGCCATTTTGACGAGTCGGCTCGTGGACTCGTCCAAAAAAATGAAATTTTTTTAAAAAAATGGGCAAAAAATGTGCAAAAAAATAAATTTAAAAATTTAAAAATTTAAAAAAAAACACGAGCTCACGGCTCGTGAGCTCAGCTCGGCCCACGAGCTCGAGCTCAACTAGTTTTTCACAAGCCACGAGCTTGACTCGCCACGAGGCCGAGTCGAGCTCGTGGGTTAAAAGGCCGAGCCGAACCAGCTTGACCCATTGCCATCACTACTCAGAGGCATCAGTCATATGTAGTGCTTATAACTCATATATACTGTTGTATATCAAATGTATATCTATACTTGATATATACAGTCATACATGGTACTTATATACAATTGATGCCCTCAGAGGCATCAATCATACGTAGTACTTATACACAGTTGATGTCAAATCAACTATTTTGAAAATGGATCGTGTTAGTTGTACATTGGGTGTCACCAACCCCCTCACAATAGAGGAGCCAATGATTTTTTTATTCGCCGTGGGCCCCCCTGTTGTGAGGGGTCGTACACCGGGTTGTCACTACTATCAAAATACATTGAAATATAGTGTTGATATGAAGGGATCAGAATATGCTATAGGATTGGGTATGAAGTTGGACGAACTTATTCAAGGACTTAACTTAAACAAGTCATCATAGGAATTTTATATAGGCCCGGTTTGGGAGCGATTTTAAAAATTGATTTTTTCACTATTAGGAGAAAAGTGAGGGTCACTTATGAGAGAAAAAGTCAAACTTTATTGTTAGAATAGTGAAATAACGGTCAAAAAATCAATTTTTTTGAATGAAAAATCACTCTCAAACACTCTCTATAATAAGACCAAGTAAAAATTGAAGATGACGAGGTCAAAATTAACAAGTGGATGGTAAAAGTATTCATTCTCACTTATTAAAATACTACGATCTTAAATTCAGGGGCAAATCTTGATTTCCTAGTCTCAAGAGTTTCGAGCTAAAATATGTTTAATCACGCCACCTGAAATTTGGGATGTCTCGTTAGCTAGTATGACATCAGAGTATTAACATGGGGTTGGCTTAAAGGCCCTAGTAGGCCTAAAAAACCAACGGCATTTTTTCACAAGCATCGAACAATTGAGATCCCTCGTATTCGGAGCTTCTTTCTTAGATAGATTCCCATCAATACAAAGAATAGGAGTGAAGTTATCTTACGTCTTGTTAGCAGTCACAGTATGGGGGGTTCGATTCTTGAAATATGGAATTAGACTCATTGTAGGCGCAGTGTACATACAGCTCTTGTTCCCTGACATGTTGAAGCACATCTTGCGATTTACCTCCTTCACAAAACTCTAGAGATGAGACGGTGGGGGTTCAACCTTTTTTTCTTTTTTTTTTAACGTGGCCCAACTACTTCGACCTTTCTTTAATTTATCCTCACCCGGCACACTCTGACTATTGGCATAAATTCTTATTTTTTATCTAGTCCATTTTATTATGATTACACGTTCTTCTTAGCATTATCATTTCCACTATATTCATTTTATGGATATGCTCTCAGCTTTAGTAACCTACACTCCACCATAAAGTAGGGCCGGTCTAACCAGGGTTTCGTACAGTTTGCCATTTAGCTTTAGTGAAATCTTCCTGTTAATTCCACTGAATTCTTGGAGCACTTACCCATCTCATTGTCACCTATCATCCGCACAAGAAGGGGATGAATCTGCCTAAGGAAATGGAAGACCACATTCAATTCATGTATTCTAATCAATTGACAGGACCGCCCTGATATTTTGGGGGCCTTATGCTAATTCAAATTGGACATTATATTTTGAGTCTCCTTACATAGAGTTTTAACTTGTTTGATGGAGATTAAGCCCTTGTTTGAGCCCCATTTTTTTATCAAAATATGTTTTTCAAGAGTTATTTGACACTATTTCAACCACACATTTATCAATAAAATAATATTACACTCAAATCTAAATTTTTTTCTTATTTTTTAACCACATTCTCCATCGTAACAATATTTCTAAATTCTTTTTTTTTTTTTTTTGAGAAAAATATGACTCAAACAATCGTTAAAATCAAAATTTTAGTAGATTTTGATAGAAGTAGATAAAATTATCAAAATATGTTTTTCAAGAGTTATTTGACACTATTTCAACCACACATTTATCAATAAAATAATATTACACTCAAATCTAAATTTTTTTCTTATTTTTTAACCACATTCTCCATCATAACAATATTTCTAAATTCTTTTTTTTTTTTTTGAGAAAAATATGACTCAAACAATCGTTAAAATCAAAATTTTAGTAGATTTTGATAGAAGTAGATAAAATTTGTGGTTTTAAAGTTTTGGAACCCATAAAATATATGGTTAAAATTAATTGTTGATTTTGACTTAGATTAAAATCTAGATTTTAATCGATGTTAAACAGGAGCTTAATATAATTATAAAGTTGTATGCCCCAAAATTTGAAGATAAAATTAATAAAATGTCAAATTTCAACCAACAATACAAATTACAAGTAAGGTTTGGCAAATAGAATTACAATGCAATGGCAAAGGAGCATACATTTGAGTGATTTATGTACAAAGTTGGAGAATGTGATTGCAAAAGATAGTGTAACAAAATAATGAATATGGTGATCAAATACAAACGAGCTTCTAATTTTATATTAATTTATGATAAATTAACTTAAAATAAAAAGCATCTGTATGAACAAGGATAGAGAATTATTAAATTCAAAGTATTTTCAGCAAACATCTAAAAATATTGTTATCATGAGATTAAAACAAAACAATATAATAATAACTTATGTATTCTATAGTATATGTTTTGAAGATAAGAAATGAAGAAACATGTAAGATTGTAATAATAACAGCGAGATCAAATCAAATTGCATTGAATCTTCAAAATTTTAATTCAAGGAGATATAATTTATATTTTGTTGGGTTGAAAAAATAATGGTGGGTGATTGTCGGAAATGGAATTTGAAAAGACAAAAAGACATTCTCTTTGGTTAAAAGAAAATGAATGTTTGGAAGATAAAATGTCAACTTAATTATAAATAGGGAAAGTAATATTTGTGATAAATAAATGTAAGTGATAAGTTTGTTGCCATATCTATATTTTAAAGATTTTTGTATTTTAAATTTTTATTAGTTTCTTATGTTTATATACGATAATTCTATTTTCAGAATTTCATAAATATAATTTTCATTTTTCTTCAACCAACCAATTAACTTCACATAATTTGGAGCTCTCACTAAAGCGGAGTCTTAGACGATCGCCAACTTCGTCTATATTCAGGGCTGTCACTGTCAATTGAAGACATTATATTTATATACATTTTTTTTTTTTTTAACATTTGTAGTAGAGAGGAACCAAATCCTACATTGTTTTTACACTCTCTCTCGAAAGTGGGCAACTATTTGTAATTTCCATTTAGTTTTTGTAATTTCAGTATAGTTTTTCACATTAGTACATTAATATTTGTACAGAACCATATAAAATAATTTTCTTTTGGTTCCTGTCTTTGCCTTAAGGAATTATGGTTGATGAGGAAAACCACTTAGAATATTGACTGCATACAGTAGAAGAAATTATGGAGGAAATCCAAATTGGGTTTAGAGTTAATGTTTGGATTTGAAATGGAATTAGTGATTGATGGAAATGTGCTAGCATGTCATTTTTGTGGCTTAGCCTTGTTAGATTTGAGCTTAGCTGAGTGGCTGAAATTTAGACCCGTGTAAAATGGTCTGAGCTTGGTCTTAATATCTCGGGCCTTCCATTTCTGGTCTCAATTTTGTGAATGGTTGGCAAAGCTTAAATTTTTCGCTTACAAGCTGTGTATCCCACGGATCGCATATTGATATAGATTTTGGTTTTCAACATATATAAACAAGGTGGCTTGTGGTGGTGGAAAGCTTTCTGGGTATGGCCAAGTTTATACGAGCCCGAGGACTACCATTTGACGTAAAAGGTTCCGAGTCAAGTGATTCCGAATTGTCAAATAGCACGTTGATAACGTTAAGATACCATGAGTTCGCAAATCAGGGCAAATGATCGTGATCTTTTCTTAATTGTGGCAGTTTTGAACATATTTTTAGTAATTTGATCATAACCTTGGCCATGATTATTAGAATTGTAATTATGATCCCAATTCGGAAGCTCTTTTCAGCACATACGTCGTGGTCACCCAACTATGTTTGGTGGGCATCAATTTCGATGCCAAAATCAACTATTTTCACTTTTGAATTTCCATTTTTAGTTTTTTATTTTTTTTTATTTATGGTAATATTTCCTTTGCCATTTTCGAAATGATTATGAACTCGATTTGAGCCAAATGTTTGGCAAGATACTTCTTTTATTACGTATTTTATTTTGATATGATTATTGAGATTTTGCTATTTTTGGTAAAATATCAATAATTTCAAATTTTCTCAACTACATATAACGTAGCTTGTGGATTATTTTTCATCATTCTGTAGATTAATAAAGTTGAATTGAATTTCAGAGAATTCTTTCTTTAGACGTTTTCGTTCGTTTTCTTTCTTATGGATTATTTGTTATAGCTAGCTTGCATGATAATCGCTATCCTGCCCAGCATAACCATTAAAGTCTACAAAAGATCCTGATACCATTATTTTCTCTGCTGTCATGACAAGAATGCTACCATTGTATGACATTTGAAGTAACAAGAAGTTGAATACCAGCAAAACACATTTCACACTACTCAAGATAAACTAAAATTGAAAAATCCTCGTAAAATTTCAAAGGGTAGCTAATATTATAGTCTACTGATATTTGAGAATTCGATCGAAACTAGGCTTCAATGTCGTAAACATTGCTTGCCATCCGGCCTCTGTGGGATGTGAGCTGTCCCAGAAGAACACGGATTTTGGATCATGGCACAAGGTGTACATTTTGGCTCCTTTATCGTCTACACTTCCACAGAAGTATCCATCGCTCTTGCCTATACAACACGGCTTCAATGGAGTCTCAAATTTCAAATTTCCTGCTCAACAAAGTGATCAAAGACAAATAAAGATTTAAAAAGGAAGAGGAGAACAAGGGAGAGGAGAACAAGGATCACCTAAATAGTCTTGTCTCTGCTCGATTACAGTTGTGAAAGATCTGAAGAGATCAACAATGGAAATTGTAGAATTTCCAGTTTTATTGTTCAACTTTGCCACAGCCTGCTGCAATAGGAGATTGTGATAACTCACGGCTATATTTTCAGTTATATTGCATTTTTGGAATGAAGATGTCTCTGTGCTTCGTGGGAGACATCCCAATGGTGGCAACGATGTCACAACTATTTTTCTTGCTCCCAATCTGCGAACCCTTTTTAAGTTCGCCTCGAGTTGATTGATTACCTTAGAAATGAAACTTGCCAAACCCTATAAACATGAGACTTTTTAGAAGACTATAATGGGACGTGTTAAAGAAAAATGCTACATGTACGTAATTTTTGTACAGATTTGTTGACAGAAAAGAGGTGGCAGTTTTTTTGGCCCTCGATTTCAATCTCATTCATTTAAGGCCAAAAAACCGTCATCTCATATTCTATCAACAAATTTGTAACCCAGTTTCTGTAGTAAAATTGAATGTTAAATTGGCTTATAGAAATCGAGAGTGTTAAGAAATAGACATGTGACAAATTTGTTAGTGGTCAGATTAGCGACGGAGTGTACAGACATGTTGTACTCACGAAATTGTGAGTATATGACAAGATTCAAGTATTGGAGCCACGAATCTAGATGATTTCCCGAATTGAATCATCATGATATCATATCATTTGGTAGTTATTCACAATAAATAGATGTGTACGCACTAAACATTGAATTTCGGGAGGAAGGCATGAAAATCTAGTTGTAGACTCATAAATGGATCAAAATTTCCACCTAATCGCCTTGAATTCATCTTTCAGATGCATGCAATAAGCCATTATGTTTGCTTCCAAATAAATGGTGTAGGTCAGTCAACAACATAATTCCTAGTCAGTGGTCAGACTTTGTAGGCCAATTTTTGCTTTTGACAGCATTGGGTTCTTCCAATTACATTTAGCCCCTGTTTTTTTTTTTTTAATTGTTTTTTTTTTCCGACAAAAATCGATTTGTGTAACTAGAATCCTAGATATGTAGGACCGCTCATATTTGGTGGGAATTAAAATAAAATTTTTAATAAATTTTATAAATGATTGAAAAGTTGTAATTCCCATGAAATGCGTAATTAAAATTAAACTTTTTTCTGAAACACTTTATGACAATGAATGAAGAAGCGATCCCACCAATTCATGATGTCTTTAGCCTATATAGGGATTTTTTTTTTTTTTTCCAACGAGACACTCAAACTGGCAACTCATAATGGCCCGTGTTGGATAAAAGTATCATTAAAGAAGGCAAGGTGAGCCTGTGAGGTACATTTGATAAATGAAGGTTGCATGCCATATGGTCCTTCAACATCCTGCAACGAACCAATTCTTTTGCACAAATATGTTATTTATTGTAAATGTGTATTGCAAAGTATCAATTTTTGATAATTAGCTGAATTTTAGGGAAAACAATCGTGCTTAGGCACTACCGTAGTGCGTGTTGGAAGATTGTGTGGAGAGGAAATCAATTTCGACTACAATTGAGTCAGTTAAATAAAGCAACTCGATACGTTTCAAATTAGCCAGCTTGATTGAGGTATAAAGTCGGACAAAAACGGGGATTGGATGTTTGAAATTTACCCTGTCGTTGTCCATCAACCTCAACTAGATTGAGTAATCAGTTTAACTACAGAATTTTCTGGAATTAGGCCCCATTTTTTTCCCCTTACTCTAATAGGTTCCAATGGTAATTTTCTTGTGTTAATCATAATTCAACACGTAGATTGCTTATAGAAAAGAAAAATTCACCAATATTTGCCTGCAGGGACTAAAATAATATTACCTGGAAAGCGCCACCATTGGCTAAATAAGTACCATAATCATTTCCAGTAAGACTGACAAGAACGGCAGAAGATTGTAAATCCCATTTGGTGTAGACTGAATCATTCATGAGTTTCTCAAAGAAATCAATCTGGGTGCTCATATTTGGTAACAAATCGCCAAGAGTATTGAACACACCACTCCCTCCATACGCAAAGTTCATCCCATTCAACCATTTTTGCTTTCCCAAATTCATCCATGTGTAGGTTACAGGAGACTTCAGTCCCAAGAATTTAGCTGTTCATGTCATTATTTGAGCACCAAAAATTAGATATTTGCTAATAATTTTTAAAGATTAAGATGCAAATTAAGGCACCATACATCCACACTGGTGAAAGATGCGTAGATAATATCCCACCTATGGCATTAGCAGGCTTGTTTATGCATTAATTACAAATGAAATAAAAGGATGCTCAATAATGGAAATTCTTCCACGCACATAAAGCTGACTCGTGTATTCAAGCCAAAAAAGAAAGAAAGCAAAAAGATAAAGTGCAGAAAATGATGAGTCAACCATCAAAAGATAGAAAAAAGGCAAAGGTGGAGTGTAACTGCGGACCAAGATAATCAGTGAGGATACGGCCATCCGAGAAACGGCCGGCAGGTTTCCCTGGAAAAGTGCTGCCATAAGGTTCTTTCCAAGAATCTGCAAAAGACTTCCTTATATTCCCAGTATCAGCGTACGAATCCCCAAATACAAATAGCTTAGTGGGTCGAAAGCCATACACTTGATGGCTGTCATGGAAGTGATGCTGGTGGCGGTGGTGGGATGAACCTTGGACACACAAATATCCTGCAAACATGTGTGTATATATAAAACTATTTATGACTGGACATAGCGAAGGTTTTTGTAAATCTAGTTATGAAAGACTGATTTGAAGCTGACAATAAAAATTTCTTTTATGCACCTGTGGTGAGGAGAAGGCAGTGGAAGAAGATAATCAAAAATTCCATTGAAGAGAGTGTTTAATAGTGTGTGGAGCTTTTTGACAGAGTGTATTTTTTCATAAAGGAGTTTCTTAATCGGATTATAAGAGTAGGATTTTCGTTCCCGTTACTTATATGAGAGCTTTATGAAGCTACTTTTAATCCATCTTATGGAAGTGACACCTTATTAATAATATTTTTTTAATAAGGATGTACAATTGAAGGTCCATTTGACACGACTTTCATTTTTTATAAGAAAAACTTTTTAAAAAATTACTTTAAATTGGTTTTTTCTAAAAATTCTTGTAGCCAGATAGAGCACTTTCAAAAAGTTATCGGAACTAGTCAAAATTAATCCCATAATCTTGAATGTAAGTTTTAACTTTTTGAAAGCTTTGACAAACGTGGCCTTAGAGTTTAGTTGGCATCAATTGATAACTCCAGGTTATAATGAATTGGTTGATATAATTAATTTTTAATGGAGACAAATACAAGTGGGACGTGGACTGGAAAGTGGGAATACAATTTCATTTTTCTGTGCCTGGCTGAAATAGTGGGTGGACTGGGAGAATTTGTTCTTTCAATTAAAAGTGGGAATTTACTATATGTACACTGAGCTCAGTGGACGTGGACTGGAAAGTGGGAATACAATTTCATTTTTCTGTGCCTGGCTGAAATAGTGGGTGGACTGGGAGAATTTGTTCTTTCAATTAAAAGTGGGAATTTACTATATGTACACTGAGCTCAGTGGACGTGGACTGGAAAGTGGGAATACAATTTCATTTTTCAGTGCCTGGCTGAAATAGTGGGTGGACTAGGAGAATTTGTTCTTTCGATTAAAAGTGGGAATTTGCTATATGTACACTGAGCTCAGTGGATGGTCCTCTCACAAGAAGGAGTCCACATCAAATAAAAAAATTGTGGGTCCAACCTCTTGTGAGAGGCTGTCAAGCCCGAATTGTACAAACATCAAATTCCTTAAAAGTGGCTCCTGATGTGGAAGTCAGAGAAAAAAGCTCTCATTTTGCAAGGATTTAGCATTACTATAGTGCAATGCCACGTTGTCAAAGTTTTAACTTTTTGAAAGCTTTGACAAACGTGGCCTTAGAGTTTAGTTGGCATCAATTGATAACTCCAGGTTATAATGAATTGGTTGATATAATTAATTTTTAATGGAGACAAATACAAGTGGGACGTGGACTGGAAAGTGGGAATACAATTTCATTTTTCTGTGCCTGGCTGAAATAGTGGGTGGACTGGGAGAATTTGTTCTTTCAATTAAAAGTGGGAATTTACTATATGTACACTGAGCTCAGTGGACGTGGACTGGAAAGTGGGAATACAATTTCATTTTTCAGTGCCTGGCTGAAATAGTGGGTGGACTAGGAGAATTTGTTCTTTCGATTAAAAGTGGGAATTTGCTATATGTACACTGAGCTCAGTGGATGGTCCTCTCACAAGAAGGAGTCCACATCAAATAAAAAAATTGTGGGTCCAACCTCTTGTGAGAGGCTGTCAAGCCCGAATTGTACAAACATCAAATTCCTTAAAAGTGGCTCCTGATGTGGAAGTCAGAGAAAAAAGCTCTCATTTTGCAAGGATTTAGCATTACTATAGTGCAATGCCACGTTGTCAATAGATAATTCTAGATCTATCACATAATATTTGGGTGATATAAACCTATTTTTGATCTCTTCTTTTTCATATAGAGGGTGCCAAAAGTGAGTCGTATGTTCCAAATCGATCCAACTTGTTTCAGACTCGTTATTGGTATAAATTAAACTGTAAAAAATTCGAGCTCAAGTTAGGCCTGGCTTATCTTTTAAAATTCTGGACATGGTTGGCCAATGAACGTGTCAATGACTCAATATTGCAAGTCGATTCAACTTGAAATTTTTTTTTTATTTTTTGAAAATGGAGCCTAGCAACTCTTTTTAAATTTTATTAAGAAATTGTTTTTGAACAAACTTGGCCAAGTTGCGTTGTCCTCATGAATCGAGGGATTTAGTTGTTCAGCCTAACACGACTTGCCTATTATGGTAGGCTAACATGTGAACTAGTTTGAAAGACTTGAGTTTTGATTTGAATTTTAACAAGTTAGAAGTGTAACTCAAAATCTTGGTGCACCTAATACAAATGATTTTATAAGAGCTATGCTAAAATATAATGCACATTTAAGCGCCAACTTTGACATTTGATTTATTCATGTTTCTTTCACAAATATTTGATCTTTTGTTTAAGAAATATAAGCTAAATTTGTCACGAAATGATTGGAAAGTAGAAATGTCTATTTTGTTATAATTAATGTCTAATTGCCGGGGACTCACTCTATTTGTTACTTAAATGGACAGGTAGAGATGTGAAATGGAAGATGTAAGTGTGTGGCTTCTAGTGAGAATATTGAACCATACTTTAGTGCCATGTTGTGAATGGATCATTCCAAATCTAACACACAAATATATTTTGACATCTTCTTTCAGTGGGTTCAAAATTAGTCCAACTTATCATCCTTGAGAAGCTTTGAAAGTAAGGCGTGTCGGTCTCTGCATTTTCACTAAAAAACATTCAAAATCATTAAAAAATGGGTTAATATATTCTTTATCAGTTGGTATCAAAGTTGAAGCTCCTGTGTTCGAATCAATGTTAAGCATTTTCTTAGAGTGGGTGAATAATCAAGAACATATTTAAAATTGGATGGACCCAAGGAAGTGGATTTGGATGGATTCTCGATATACATTCTAGATGATATAGAGTAAATTGCATTAATGTCATTAGTTGTAACTTTTGGACAATATGGTGACAATATCTTATATAGCCTCTATTTGTACTCCATTATTTCAAATTATAACGAAAGGAATGGTAATTTTGTGAAGAATGTGTGGTTAAAAATGAAGGAAAAGTTTTTAAATTTAAATGTAATATTAATTTATTTGAAAATGTATGATTGATAAAAAGAACGAGAAAAATAAATTTTAATTTAATGGAAGCCAAAATGGGGCATAATTTTTTTCACACATTTTATAGGACTCACGTACCTACTACTCATTATCTACGTGTTTTGTAAAATACACATCTTATAAGCACTTTGAAAAATAAGCTTTGCAAATCATACATTCTGTTTGTCATACTACAAATTTTGCTATTTGGGATTTCCTTAAATCTCTTACATCGGAATTGACTCTCTATTTTAGACGTGTGAGATTTCGACTCAATATAGTTCTACATAAATAAAAATATGTGCAAGTGTGTGAATAGACTGTTAAATGACCAGATTTTTACCCGAATGAGCAAGATTTCTTTCGGAAATCGTGAGGTTTTCTAAGATCTTCGCCATTGTCCCTTTTTGAGAGTTTTTTTCTTTCAAGAAAATAACAGGTGTATTTGGCTAAGTGGAAATTACACCAAACCTTAATTTTAAACTATCCAATTCAAAATTAAGATTCAAAGGTTTTCTTTTCAAAAACAAGGTATATAAAAACTCTAAAAACCATTTCCACTCTTTTCTCCCTCTCTCCATCTTCTCTCTACAGACCCTCATCGGCGATGCAGTGACATGGCCTCGCATCACCGCCGTGAGAGAACAAAATATCACATACCACAGCCTTGTCATGAGACAGCTTTGCAATATACCACCTCCACAAGATGGCGCAGCCTCGTACCATCTCCCATCTCTGCCAACACCGTCACTTTCCTTCCTTGAAGCGACACCACAGCCACGCACATATATCCCATCATTCGTCGGTGATGCAAGAGCCACCGCTTACAACTAGTGCAAAAGTGGCTATGCCACTGCGCTCGTAGCGTCGCTGTGCCGCCATGGTTTCGAAATGATTTTTCGAATGGTTTTTGGACGTAAAGATTTGGTTGATCTTTGTTTGTTGATGGTGGTGGTTTCCATGGTATGGTAATATTGGGGTGGTTTTATTTGCAAGGGTGGCGGTGAATTTGGCAGCGACGGTGGTGGTGGTGGTGACGGTCGTGGCAGCGACAATGGTGATCTAGCGATGATTGTGGTGGGGGTAGGATGTGGTAGTGGTGGTTCTGGCAGCAACGATTTTGGTGGTGATGCGGCTAATGACAGTGGTGAGGTGATAGTTACAAGTGTTGATGATGATCATAAATAATTTGGTTGATTGTGATTAATAAATTGGTTAATGTGTGACCCAGTAAACAATATGTTACTAATAAGAAAGATAAATTGTTACTAATTGTTAATTTGTAACTGATAATTTCATCAGTTGTGACTCATAATATATGTGATTTGTGATTAATAAATAAATTGTAATTTATAATTTTTTTATTTGTGACCGATGAACAAATTGTAACTTATAAAACTTTTGAATTGTGGCCATAAAATAATTTACGACATATAAAAATTCTAATTTGTGATCGAAAAATAATATGCGACTAATTAAATTGTATAGATCTGTGACTAAATTGTTATAGATTTGTGGCCTTAATATATTTTATTAATAAAATATATAATTCATTAATTAAATCATAAATAAATTTTAATACTTAATTTTGAAATTGGTGATATTTAATATCTTAGTTATGAATTTTTTCCCCAGGCTAAGTCACCCGCAATAAGGTTAACATTATATTTGACCGTATAAATCAATTTTTTAAATTACGGATAGTATAAATCAAATTTTTAAATACTAGGCCGTTGTGGGCCTGATTTTGCACCTGTGCATTTATCAAAGGAGACAATCTTTCATATCCCAACTAGATTATTTAATTTCTATAATTATACATAATTAAGAAGATGAAAGGCTAGCTAGGTAAAGGAGACAACTTTCACGGGCTTCAATGTTATGCCCCATTTGTTTCCCATTTATGTAAAAATAAGAATGAAAAATATAGCTGTTACAAATCCCACACAAAAAATAAAAATTCAAATATAGTGGTTTAATGTGATGAATAACGATCATATTTTTTATTTTAATGAGAAAAGAGTAGGAAACAAACATAGGCTATATCTTGTGGAGTAAAGCTACTTACGAACTATTACTCTCACGATCGAAAAGTTTTACATCGAGGAAATGTTTGAACTACAATCCCAGGAGAACAAGTGATTTTGCAGAAAATGTGATTTAGTGTTTTATCTTTATATTTCGCATGGGATATTTCGGAATGACAAAAAGGTTATACCATCTCATGGTAAATAGACAAATTATTGGGTCAAGCTAGATTTGAACTAGTGTAGACATATTGCCACGAAATTGCATTTCTTCTGCTCTATCATCAAAGCTTGGAAGAATCCATTTAATGCTTATTGGTAATTCATGACCAACTTCCTTTTACAGAATCCTATCATTAGGCTAGAATTCAAATCCTTTTTGTTTCCTTGAAAGAGAGACGTTCTAAATCACTAGATGATTGGACCAATTTGTCCAACTATCCTCATACCATGATCATAGTATGAACAAATTTTTCATATTGTCAATATAATGGAATGATGTAATTAGACTTGTGGGATCTTTACATTTATCAGAATTTATAGAATCTTGTGATTATTCATCCATGTTCATATATAAATCGTTCATTAAAATATTAGAATCGTCAAACTCTATATAAATATAGTATAAAAATCTATTTTCTTTAGAACAATTTCATTTTCAAAAAATTAAAAAAATACGAACGCTTATAAATAATAAGAAATAGGATTTATTTATGGAATGATTGGTCTGTCAAAAAAGAAGGGAGGACTTTTTTGGCTTTCGTACATTGTTGAGATGAGATATCCTTATCTCTATTAGATACTATGATGGGAAATTAACAACCAATGAATTCAGGAAGCAACATCAAGAAATTATCGAAAACTTTCTTTAAGAATTTAGTTCAGAGGACAATTAGAATATCTTCATTACATGAACTATCTCAAAATTTATGTAACCCTGGCCAATGTTCCCATTTTGTCAGAACACCTTCATTGCTTCATTCATTCGGGCGTCTTATAATCGTGGTGGTCACGTGAATTTTAACAACGATGAGATTGTTTACTCTCGTTTTTCCAACAAAATTAAAAAATGTGCATGAAAATTTTGAAAACAGGGATTCTCTTTGGATGTTATAAAACTTGAATATTTTTTGTTCGTAATATATATATCGTGGTACGTTCTTTTAACTAAAAGATAAGAAATGATCAATGAAAATCCCAACATTAAAATTTACAAGGAAAGAAATTTCATTTTAGTAAAATCACCACAATTTGTAATATGTGCACTAACAAAACTTTATCTTCAAGAAGTGAATTATTCTTCTCTATCAACAAGAAGCGAAAAATAAAAAATAAAAATCCTGACCAGTACCATGGGGCTAAACAAAAGAACCTAGGATATCCCAAAAATAAAATCCAAAGGTCGAGAAATTCAATACCACTAATATATGAACAATATTAAGACCTCCGCCTATCCTTGAAAGGGGTAATCTTGATGACCACACCTGGGAAAACATCATCAGGATCTTGAATGTGTGGATTCTCCTCGACAATATATGGATCACCACAATTTTCACTTATTGTGTGCAAAGTTTCTCCTTCTTTTACAACATAAATTTCATCGCATGGCCTCTCCACGTGATCCTTCTCCATCTGCTGCACCGTATAGTATTCTCCATCACTCGATTCGCAGAAGCTTGAAACCAGCATTAATGCCAAGAACAATGCAAAGTACCCACTAATGGCCTCTGCCAATGCAATTGATGATGAGTTAATACGAGACATGCTTCCCACTTTCCAATGCTAATGTCTTAGGGTTTGGATTTATAGAGGATTAGGATTAAAATTTTTGAAGTGGAGAAGATGGTTTTGCTTTCAACTGGTTCTTGGAGTGGGTGCAAGCTCCAGTTTTATGGATGGAAGGAGTTGAAACAGTTTCTTCAGTGTAGTCGGTAACTGTCAAACAATATAAAGCTTACTAATTGGCATCACTAAGATGAGGCGGCTACGGCTACGGCTACGACTACGATTTGACCCCTAACTACACAGTTAACGTCTTATTTCGGTTTCGTACATTGTATTACATTAATTAAGATTAACATCTTGACATTTTCCCCTCGTCCTTTGCTTTTTGTAATTCTTAAATGTGAGATTTGACTTGAATCAGTGTTCGGTTATGGAAATTTCAGACAGGAAAATGAAACCGTCAATGCTGGTGATGGTCATTAAATTGGCACACTGAGTCTATTAGTAAATTGTATCATATTAAAAGGTTGAATCCCAACCTTGAAGGTCCCCATCATCCCGCCCCTAGAACTTTGTGAGGGAGATTGCAGGATGTGCCCCAACATGTTAGAAAACAAGAGCTGTCTGTATACTACGCCTACAAGGAGTCCAATTCCATGTTTCAAGAAATGAACCCCCACACTGCGGCTACCAGCAAAGCGTAAAATAACATCACTCATGTCCTTTGCACCACTGGACTATGCCCCAGGGGGCAGTAAATTGTATCATATTAATATAATGTCTGGTGACAACTTTGTATTGTATAAACTTTATATGTTTTGATGCTACAAAAAATCACACCTCGTACCAGTGGCGAATCCAGTACCTATTGAGTACCCGCGATTACGCATGCTGAATCCACTTGAGCAATTTTATTTTTATTTTTTTGGTTGAGAATAGATAAATATTTTAGCTTATATAACTAGTAATGCACTTTAATTTCAACCAAGTTGGTTAGAGCTTGCATGTATGTGTTGGAAGTCTCGGGTTTGAATTCCTTACCAACTAATTTATTGTGCAATATTTTTAGTTCTATAATTTTTACCAAAATTAATGGAATAGGGAGAGCACCAGAGGGGATTCAAACATTAGACCTTTTGTAAGAATTAATGAAAGTTTGACCATTATGACACTTATTGAATTTTAAAATAAATTTCACAAAATAGTATATGTTAGGTTTTGACAGTTTTAATGCAATTGTAAAAATTTGAACCCGTGCTCTTCCTTTGAATTGTACAAAATTTGGCAACAATGTCATTTTGAACAAAATAATTATTTTAAATTTTAGGCCTTTTTTTATTCTCATTTATTTCAAAGTACATTTTTCTCTATCTTATTTTTAATAATACATTCTTCAATAAAATAATATTATACACAAGTTCAAAACTTTTCTTTATTTTTAGCCACATATTTTCCATCAAATCACTATTCCAAAATGCATTTTTTTGCAATATATATATATATATATATATATATATATATATATATATATATATATATATATATATAACATGTGCCTAATTCACAAGAATTTCTGTATCATTTTCGTATTGGAATTATAGCAACACAGTGCTTCGATATGTGTGTGATATTGGACCTTTGTGACGTGATTAGATGGCTCCAGGATTTTCTCAATTGATTCAATCAGAATGAGTGCAATCTGAATGCTTTATTGAACATCCATCACTAATTTCGGTACCAATAACCTTTTAGTTGTAGTTAGAAAGACTTGTAGTATGACTTTTGGGTTAGGTTGGCTGATTTGTCTACTAGTGATTAGCCTTGAAACATCTCGAGTATTTAATAATCTTTTGTCTTTAATGTTGATTGGATTTCAAAGGATTTGCACTGTTTCTTGAAAAGATTGGTATGGAGTCATCTTAAAGCAACTCTCTTTTAGTAGTGATAAGTTTGTAAATTAGGCAAACATGATTTCAATTTCATTAGGACCTTCCATTTCTTAGGGAGAGTAATGTACTCAACACCATTATTTCATTAGGACCTACCTTTCTTAGGATTTTTCCTCACACATCTTGCTAGTAGTTTGCCATGTTTACCTGCTAATATGATGAATTTCTCGAATTAGCATATATATATATATATATATATATATATATGACATTAAACAGGGTGCTGAAATTTATTGCAATCGTCGGTCGACGACCTCTCATGCTGACTTAAAATTCTGGATCCGCCACTGTCTCGTACCATGCTTCGCGGTTCAATGCTTAAATCAGCATAAAGAAATGATATTCGTACATGAGGCTACCAGCTAAATAATGAAATCAAATCTGAATAATGAATATATGTCTTATATCTACAATGGTATATGGTGGAATCATATGAAGATTAGGACACGTGAGAGACTTGATATGGTATTGGTGAATAAAAGCATATGTGAGTATTATATGTAATAGAACTAGTCTACCTTGGTTGATGTTCACATACTAATAGAGAGTAGGCGCGAGAATCGAGAGAAAATTTCTAGTATTTTTAAAGTATGAGACTCATTACTTTATCGTTAATCAATTTAGTATATGCATGACTAGTACTTAGTACCAATTTAGGTGTCCATTGTGCGCTCTCAAACGATTGGACATCTTAAACGAAGGAATAATGTTATTTAGTACCAGTAGTGTTAGAGTACCAATTTAGGTGTCATGCAAGTGATTGAATATCTTAAATGTAATTTGCTTTCATACTTTCAAGGTAATCTATCAATTAATAACACTTACATGTCACCTAAACTGATTTTCAGCACTTGCGATGTTAAATAGCATGACTCTAAATGATACTAGTAACTCTAAATAAAGATATACGAGTCATATTTGAGATTTCTAATCATTTAAAAACATTTAATGGATACAGGAGTGGACCTATGAAGGGATGAGTTGGTGTGGTTACCCCCACGGGATTTTCAAATACAGCTTTTTAAAATTCAAAATTTCTAATTTTTTTGGCTTCTTTCCCAATTTATTTGAAATAATTTTTTGCGTAATTGTCTTGTACATATTAAACCATAATTGTGGATCCGCACCTAAATGTATATGCATATACACACACAACAAAAGGACATGAGTGAGATTATTTCACGTCTTGCTGGCAACCGCAGTGTGGGGGTTCGATTCCTGAGATATGAAATTGGACTTCTTGTAGGCGCAGTGTACATGTAACTCTTGTTTCCTGACCTGTTGGGACACATTTCGCGATTTACCTCCCTCACAAAGTTCTAGGAACGGAATCGTGGGACCCTCAAGGTTGGGGTTTAACCTTTATATACACACACAACAAACCCTTGCCATGAACTCGAGGCGGTTAACCTGGCGGTGTGCTTTATGCTTTGATAGTAACCAAATTTTTTTTCAAGATTTCTCGTCCAATTGGCATGGAGCACGTGTCTGGTAGGTATAGAAAGGTCTTCTTTGTCATCTAACAACCACTCGGAAAACTTTTGCTTAGTTACCAATTTTGATTCAGTTTACGTTTACAAAAGAGAGCGACTTTTTAATTTGAGAGTATTAAGCAAATTTTAAGTGCGACTTTAACAATATTATCAACAAAATTTTCCGTAAACGATGCCAAACGAATTTACCGTCATATGGTTGATCGGCGATTACTAGCGATTCCGATTTCATGCAGGCGAGTTTTAAAGCTATACCACAACTGCCCTAACTGACCTAAAGTTTGTGCCAATCGAACTTGCAAGGAACAAAAAATTATATTCTGCATCAAGGTAAGATTGTGTTTGGATGGCACGAAAAATAGTATCTCGAGTCCTTACTATAGAGAATATTCATAATATACTCTCAAGTCTCAACTAATAACTTGATTGTCGAAGCGTACCATTAATAGAGACATCTCAACATTGTCCGACTCATTTCTAATAGAAAGCGATTCTGCATTATACAATAGTAGATCTTTGACATGTACAAATAAAATTTATCCATTATGCGTTAGATAACAAGATGGGCGACCTTTGATTCTCACGATGAAACAGCAGCGTCATTTCTAGTATCTGAATTTTCTTCATCAAGGAGAAGATACGCTGGATTATGGTCTGCATCTTGAATAGTTGGTATGCTTTCATGATCCTTCTTGCTGCTGTAACAATTGCAGGAAATTAAATGGTACACATTTCATCGCATTTATGACAGAGAGAAAAGAGAATTAATGCTGTGTCAATAGGAATTCTCTATCGTACACAAGATAATAGGAGGTATAGAATCGTGAGATATCAAGAAAATACGAGAATCTTGATGATGCAAGACTTACGTTTTAGAATATATGGCAATTCCAACGACAACTACTGCAAAAGCGAGAAAGTATAGCCAATCAACCTGCAGTTTGAAACAAAGCATCATCCACCATTTAGCCTTAGAAAAAATTACAGGGGGTAAAAATGAAGATGAAAATAGGAAAAAAGGTTACCTTCTGCTTGTAGAAAAATATTATAATGGCAACTGCCCACATATTAGACGTAAGAAGAGAGAGATTAAACAGTGTGGATCCACCCATCTGTGTAAAGAGTCATCCCATTAGAGACAATGAGACTGTATACACTGAGATATCAATTCCAAATGAAAAGACAAGTTAAAGGCCTTAAGTCCCCCCTTTTTTTTGAAGGATTTTTAAGGAAAATTTTCGACCCTACAAGTATTTTACAAACTTCATGAAGAGCTCTCTTTATTTCTGAAATACCGTGGCTTACAATGAGTAGACTTCTGTTTTTATACCTGTTCGTAAGTAGAAATTTCTTGGAAAAGACTCTCAAACCTTCTTTTTCATGTTCATCTAACCTTCATCAAGGCCTTCAGATGTAAAGGTTTATCAGCGTATCCGTATAGTTTTATCACAAACTTATTTCGACTTAGAGAGACTCATTTTGCTAAAAACCATTCCCATGTGGAATAATTAACGGAGATAAAGCTGACCTTTAGAACAAAAGGAACAAGTGTGTAGAACATAAAGCTTGATGCCGCATAACCAGCAAAGGCTGTCATCTGATAACAAGCTTGGTTAGCACTGTTAGACCATACTCAATGGTACAATGTACAAGATTTTGGCTTCTATCCCTTTCTTTTTTTTTTTTTTTTTTTTTTTTTTTTTTTTTTTTTTTTTTTTTTTTTTTTTTTTTTTTTCTTTTTTTTTTTTTTTTGGGGATACTTACAATTTCTGAAGACCACGTCACTGATTCAAGGATCTTTCTCTCCAATACAACGCTAGTCGAGTAATGGGAAAGCAGTTCAAAGTAATGTTTACATTGAAAATTAGAAAATTTCGAATTCATGTATAATTAGAGATAAGGATACATCTCAATTGCACTCAATAGCATACCAAACAAACCAATCATAGCGACTACTTCAACACGATCTTTCTTCTTGACGCAAAACTCCTGTACCGGGAAATATTAGAAATTATTGTCATTGGGAACCAATATTGATTGTCGAACATAGAACTTAATCTGGAATGGGGAAACATCAAGTTAACTAACCTCACCAACATTGCTCAATGCGAAAAAAATTGTCCCTGCAACGACAAGTACATCACCCAAAAGAGGTTTCGAACCACCTGAAATGAAATAGGTGAGACAGGTACTCATTACATCAAGTAGTTTGGATCGTGTGCTCAATATTGCTTGGTGTAAAAAAAAAATGGTTACGTTCACGTGGGGTAATAGGGAACAATGGGGTCAATCCGTTCTGTTATTCCAGTCAAATAGGTTAAGGTTAAAATATCAAAATAACAGGAACGCAAAGATTTCAATTGATGTAATTTAAGAATGAAGCAGTAGTATAAACCAATAAAGAAAAAGGTGAAGAACTCCCTGTTGTCTGGTTGGTCGGGGTAGCTATCGTGTGGAGTTCAAGCGGGCTTGTTTACTATGCTCCGTGCCCAATGCCTTCAGCTTCTCAACTTACTCCAATTGCACCTAGAAAAGTAGCAAGGTATTTACTTTTGTGGTGATTGTCCCTCTGTTGCGGTGAGACATGTGAAGAGAGCGATTGTTGATTGTTGTTGGCAGTTGCAAAAGGTAGTTTTGGACTGTGGGTTGTGGTGGTGGTGGTTATGTAAAGATGGCGGTGTTCTTAATCTATAGTCGCTGATGTTGATGGCGACTATTTAGGTGGGGTGGTTTGTGTAGTCGCTATTTGGAGGTCAACGACGATTGGGGATGTTGTTGGTGTGAATGTAGAAACTGAGTGTGGTGGTGAAGATGGAGGTTAATGGTGATAGCGACTGATGATTCTATGGTGGGTGGCGGCGATGGATGAAGAAACTATAGAGTTTCTGTGAGACCGGATGGATTAGGGTTGAAGATGATGGCGGTTGTGCGGTACTGACTAGAGGCGGTAGTGGCTAGAGATGAGTGGTGATGAGAGAGGAATCGGGTGATACTGGAAGTGATGAAGAGTGACGGGTATGAATTGGACTTGGGTTGCAAAAGATGGACCGTGAAAGATGGGTTAGAGGATTGGGTTTCTTCTATGTTTTAATTGGTTTAAGATAGATGGGTTATTGGACTGGGAGTTTGTGTTTATTATGTGGAATGGGCTGAGATAATATGTAATAAGTGGGCTGGGTTTGGTGTTTATTGGACTTGGAAGTGAGTGGATTGTCTGCGTAATGGGTGATAAGTGTGGGCTAGGGTTATTGGATTGTGCTACATGTACAAACACATTTGTACTAAAAATTTTACACACTCTCACAATAGAATGGGAGGGACCACATGGCTAAATTTTTTAATGCAAGGGGGACCCACATGCATATGAGAGTGAGTAAATCATTTTGTCAACCAAATTTTGTACAAATAGTTTTATACAAGATTATTTTGGGTTGTGGTTTATATTTGTATTGGGTTGCTGTGCATTGAGACTAGGGTAAAGAAGAGGTAACAACAACAATTAACTTAGGATGGGCAGCAAAGTAAATGAGACGGCAGTTGAGATTGTATTTTTTTTTCCTCTAGAAATTGAAAAAAAAATACTAAAACAGATTTTTTTCTCGGGTGTGAGCAATACTCGTGAACAGATTTTTTTTTTTTTAAACTAAGAAAGAAAACTGAAATAAAAGAAGACTGCTGCCTCATTACAAATTCCTTCATTTGTGTTGTTATACAAGTTTTTGGGTAGAGAATAAGAAAAAGTTTTGGATTGTAGATAAAAAATTACCCAAGTTTCGGCTCTGATACAAAATTTGATGCAGGATGAGTTAAAGAATAGAAAGAAGAAGCAAGAAGGGTGGGAGGGAGAACTAGAGAGAATGAGAGGGAGGGGGGGAATCGGAGAAGAAGGAAAAATCAGAGAGGAGGAAGAAGCGATAGGCAACGAACCACCAAAATATTCTTCAATTCATCTGGTCTCATGGAAACTCTACAGTTTCTTCATCCATCATCCCCACCCACCACAAAATCATTAGTCACTACCACCATTAACCTCCATTTTCACCGCCACACTCAGTTTCTACATTCACACCAACAACACCGCCAATCGCCGTCGACCTCCAAATTGCGATGACTGCAAATCGCCCTACACAAACCGCCCCACCTAAATAGTCGCCATCAACATCAGCGACTACAGATTAAGAACATTGCCATCTTTACATAACCACCACCCACAGTCCAAAACTACCTTCTGCAACTGCCAAACAATCAACAGTCGCTCTCTTCACATGTCTCACCGCAACAGAGGGACAGTCACCACAAAAATAAATACCTTGCTACTTAACCAAATGCAATTAGAGTAAGTTCAAAAGCCAAAGGCATTGGACACGAACCATAGTACACAAGCCCGCTTAAACTCCACACGATAACTACCCCGACCAACTAGACAGCAGTGAGTTCTCCATCTTTTTCTTTATTAGTTTATACTACTGCTTTATTCTTAAATTGCATCAATTGAAATCTTTGCGTTGATGTTACTTTGATATTTTAGACTTAACCTATTTGACTGGAATAACTGAACGGATTGACCCCATTGTTCCCGATTACCCCACGTGATTAGATCTATCATTTGTACTTTTGCTTTTTATTTTATTTGCATTAGCATTATTAGCTTGCCAAGTTCAAACTTACGTAATCCCATTCTTAAGTTAATCAAAGAAAAAGAAGAGAGATTTAAAAAAAAATGCTCAAATTGTTATTTTCCATTGCTGGCACTTATTGGTCATTGATATCACCATTACACATCATTTAGCTGCCAATATAGTGCTTGTATGGTGGTCAATTGATCGTCTTGTCACTTCTAGTTTCAGTACCTAAACATGGACCATTCACACTTTGATGAACTCACTCGACAAATAGCAGCTATCCAAACCCAGATGACTGCTACTCTTAAATAGAGTAAGGCCCTCTCTACTAGTCTGAACAACTTTAAGCAAATTTTTCATCGATTGATGTTAATAATTCTCAAGTGTCTCACAATAGATGACATCATCGTCAATAAGGTGACCAAAAATATTTTCAACACGATCGTAGGGATAGGGATCAAGTTCATAAGCGAGAACGAGGCCATGGTCGTTATGGTACTCATTCTCTTCCTCGTCATAAGGAGCATTTTTTTAGAGACATTAAATTAGATACTCCTACGTTCAATGATTGCTTAAACCACGAAAGTTTTACTCAATGAAACACACTTACACAAGGAATTCGGCTAGTAACTGAGTACATTGCTCAATTTAAGGAATTTCAAATGAAATGTTATGTCATTGAGGATAAGGCCATGACCTTGAGTAGGTTTATACAAGGTCTAAGAGATGAACTTAGGCGTGAGCTTTTCTTAGGAGGCGTCACTACCCTTGATCACGCTTATTCTTTAGCCCGAGACTATGAGTTGATTATTAATACTCCATATGAAATCCGCGATCACCATCTTTCATCCATTTCATTAGCACCACCTCATCATAAGTCTGTCATAGAGCTTTCCCCGTCTAATGTTCCTCCCATTTGGAAAAATAAGTGTAAAGATTGTGATAGTTCAAGGCCTTCTTTTCCATACAGAAGGCGTATTGACAATTATTCTTCTATTTCATTGGATCCACTTCCTTCCGTTAAGTCCCTTCCAGGACCTCTCCTGTCTAATGTTCTTCCAATCATGAAAAATAAGGGTAAAATTTCTGAAATTCCATGGGCTTTTTCTCACTTGCTATGCGTCAGTTGTAAAGACTTTGGCCACATCTCTTCCAAATGTCCTAGCCGAGCGTTAACCATGAAAGAACAAAAGAATGTAATAGATGAGCCATTAAAAGATCTAGTCTATGAACCTAAACTTGAAGATTTTGATGACTTGTATGATAATGATGACACCTCATTAGGTTCAGACTTTTCCTATAACTCTAGGTGTTGTATCTCTTGTTCTCGATATCTCTCAGTCAAGTGCTGTGCATCATACCTTTATCCAACCCAAAGGTACTTATGATTTGTGTAATCATGCTTGAAATTTGATCATCCCAACTGTTCAAATTGCATATAACAGTTCTATGAATTACTCTATAGGTCTAAGTCATTTTGAAGTTGTTCCTGATTATAAGTCTAGGAGACCGTTAGACCTTATTTCCATGTCCTCGCATGCTAGTGTGTTGATATTCGCTGGAGCATTTGTACATTATCTCCATTACTTGCATATTGAGATCAATAAACAACATGACGCAAGTAATGCATTATATAAACTTCAAGCTGATTCGCATAAACCATATTTTGAATTTAATATTGGGGATTATGTTATGTTGCAAACTTGTAGTATCGGTCCTTTTAAAATTTTAAAGGATATTGGTCCAAATGCACATGTTATTGCACTTTCATCACATTTTAGCTACCACTCTACTTTAAATATTGAGAACTTCATTACTTACAAACACCGTTTTACTTCCGTTGATGATCCATTTTTATTTAGCTTTGTAGAACCCCAACTTGACTATATTGATATTTCTACTTCAATACCATCTATCATAGCACACAAAGATAAAATTGATATTATTTTAGATTAACATGTTGTGTTAACAATTGATGGAGAGAATCGTTACTCCCTTGTTTGTTGGGTAGATCAACGTGTTTCTTGTGCTCCTCAATATGTACAATCATGTGAAAATTTTGGAGAAGAGGTGTATGAGTATTGGTTATTTAGAGTTTAGTATCAATACTTGGTTAGAAGGAAAGACCATCCCCCTTGGTCAAATCATATTCTTGGGAATCAGCTACAGTTTTCATTAGTGTTAATCATGAAATTTCGATACTTGGTTCGTCAGAAAGATTATCTTCCGTGGCATGACTTGAAGCATTTGGAGTATCAGATTGACTGCAACCTTTAGTGATCTATCAACTTAACAGGCCCGAGTTTTCTCCCATCCCGAGAGAGTTAATGAGGACATCTATTTTTATTTATCTCTAGTTTGACTTTACTCTAGTTTTGGATTCTTATTTATGTAATTGAGCTTGTATTAGTCCAAGTCCATTCTAGTTAGGGTTTTATTTTTACTATTTAAACCTAATTTGCCTTGTAATTTTCTTTAGTTGATGAATTGAAGAATATTTTGGTAGTTTGTTGCCTATAGCTTCTTCCTCCTTCCCTCCTCCCTGATTTCTCCCTCTTCTCCGATTTCTTCCCCCATTCTCTCTAGTTTCTCCCTCCCTTCTTGCTTCTTCTTTCTATTCTTTAACTCATCCTGCATCACACTAATTATGTACCATCAAAAGCAATTAGATCAAATAGGACAAAGAAAAATAGACATACAAGAGCATTATAGTGGTTCGCCTTAATATGAGATTATATCATCTTCCATCGATATAGTAACTCACTGCCATGAAGAGAAGTTTATAAAAGAAAAGCTTACACTTTATCTTCTCTAACCTCTCTTTTATTGATTATTATTCAAAACTCTAATGACGACTCGCTATTTATAAGACAAATTAGGTCAAAATCGAAAGTAGATCGATTCATATACTAATTGTACAAACATGGCCGGCCCTAGACAGAGATAGGCCTCTGCCTGAGGCCCAATTAAGAAGGGGGCCTCAGATTTTTTCTCTCTCTCTCTCTCTCTCTCTCTCTCTCTATAGGATAAAAAAACTAGATTTAAGGCCAATTTCTTACTTCCCATTTGGCCTATGTGCATGCGTGCGAGAAAGAATCTACAATTAATTTGTTGTTAATTTTAAAGTAGATTCAATAGAAAATCCTATTAATTCTTTTTCGATTTGTAAGTGATATTTTCCAAAAACAAGCTTGCTGCTTCAAATTTATTCTCCTCTTAGGTTTGTAATTCTATTTTATTTTCTTATATGTGCTTTAAAATGATTCTAGTTTACTTTTATACTCATCATTCATAAAAAAGACAAAAACCTTTCTTGAGACTATTTGGGTTGAAAAATTAACAAATCAACAAGTTTTTTCTTTAAATTATTGGGTTCTCTTTAAAAAGAATTGTGCTAATAATCGTGTTGTTTTACTTTCCATCGGATATTATAAGACGAAAGAGTTAAATATATATGTTATTTTTGTCTTTTTTTCCTAATTAATTTATGATGTTAAGTTATAATTATAATTGATATATGATTATAATGCAACTTTTGAAAATAAACATTATGTAGCTATGTAGATTTATAGATGCTTTGATATATTTGTGGGGTTCTGTATTACTGAAGTAGAAATTTTTAAGAACTTTCGGATGCCTACCACCTCTTATGTCATGTTTGTATGGAGAATTGAATTTATCTAATGCTTCAAGTGAATCATAATTTTTCTTTGATTGTTAGATATCACTTGTTTGATTGGAAATTAAATGTTATTTCTCTAGTTTCTTTGTGTTTTGAAGCTTAAATTCAGAAATCAAAAGTAATATTGAAATCCTTTTGACACGAAATGGTAGAATGTTGATTGTTTAGTATTTAACCGATCATTTAGGACATTGTCAAATTTGTTATTTGATTATAATAAAAATATTTTGTATAATACATGTTGCTTATTGTTAAATAATTGATTTCATAAGGCACTGATAAAATTTACATGCATACTATAATTTTTGGGGCCAAATTTAGGAAGTTTACCTCAAGCCCCAAAAATCACTGGACTGGCACTGTGTGCAAAGTGACAATAATTAAGTTACACAACTTAACAAACGGTCCAAATAGGTTGTAGTAGACTATCAGTATTTAGAGCCAAAGTGAGGAAACTAAGCTTTCTTAGAAAAGGGCGTAAAATAGTACCTTCACCTCCCTCATGGGCATCAGAAAGAAGCACCAGGCCAAGTCCTGCAAGACAAATTGCTGCACCAAAGAATTGCCACCAAGAATATTTCGTGCCAAGGAAAATCCATGTGAGCAATATTACCCATGCAATCGTCCAACAATCCAATATTGTCACACTTGTAATTGATGAGAATTCATAAGCTTTATTAACTGTAAGAAATCACTTGGCAATGAGCTTTTCCAAATCAATGCAATTCCAGTCCAAAAAGGGAAATCGCAGAAGTTTTGATGTATGCATATAAGGTTTGTAACAGCACGTTACCAAGATAATTGCCGTGGACATCAACAAATCCTAGGAGAACATACCAATACCAAGGAACCTGCGTTTTCAACATAATCTATGTATGAATATCATGTCCCAAATTGAGCTTCCACATATCCAATATTGATTCAAGAACCATAAGATTTCCAATAAATCTTGACAACAATTCCGTGAAAAGAACTTCGCGGTATTGGACATTATTAAAGAGGACAACAAACAAGATTTTAACATAATTTGTTTCCATTATTTGTTTGATATTGTCTAATTTACCATACCAAATACCCCATGTAAGTACGAAACTGTATAATCAACTCTAGTCGGTAATTTATATGATGAAAATCCACGACAGTTGTGCTAACATCTAAAACACAAATTACAGACTCCGGCGAAATATAATTTAGTCAAAATTTTGCCAACGAACTAAAAATAAATAAATAAATAAATAAATAAATATATATATATATATATATATATATATATATCTCCCAATTTCTTTTTGCCACTTTACAATGGCGATGGCTATGGGCATGTACAAATAGCATTATTCAAATCCACAATACCAGCAATTTTTTGCTCCGGTACAGCATGATACTTCCGTACACCAGAGTGAGAGCCAAGTAACTAAAGAATGACAGAGTAAGAGGTGCATCAACGCCTAGAAAATCCCATAAACATATTATTAGGCATAAGGATCAAAATTATTAAAGTAGAACCTCAAATTTTCGAAATAGTCGAAGAAACTTCCAAAATTCAAGTCCATGAAGTTTCTTAATAAAACAAAATTAGTCTCTGCAAAATAAAAAATACCTTCAGCGGCAACTAAAGAGGCAGTGAAGCTCATCATGGCCATGCCAAAAGACAAAACCTGGCCTAAAAACAATAAGAACAACGTCCTCATATTGTCTTCATGGTTTCTCCACCATCCTCTGCCAATTGCACAGAAAAGTCTAGGCAATATCGTGTGTGAATTTTGTTTACGTTTTTGTTTGAATATTTCAAGGATTTATAATTTATTTGTTTTTTCTATTTTTCTAGGTGAGTGAGGCATGAGGATGTATCTGACTGTCAAAAGTCTGTTGGATGTTGGCATGTGGTGAGTACAACCCTTCAACAAAAAATGCCCGCAAATTAAGTGCTAACTTGGCAAAAATTAAAATTTATATTTTGATTTAAATCAAAGTTAATAATTAATTTTAATTATATATCTCGTAGGATCAATAACCTTTCAATCACATATTTCATCAACTTTTATCAAAAGTTATAGAAAATCTGATTTTAGTCCTCATCATAAGGACTAAGTGTTTATTTGGATTAACTTAAAATGTTGCTTTTAATTATATATCTCATGGACTGTACAACTTTTATCAAATTTTTAATCACAGATTTTATCAATTTTTTTTTTCAAAATCTACTAAAATATTTATTAAAAACTTTGTCAAACAGCCCCTAAAAAACTACGTAGGTAGGTGGTGTAACCCCTGCTTGTAGATTGCTCTTGGCTTGTGTATAATTCATACTTGTATGATGTCTAATCCGTAAAACTAGTTAGTCAATAATGTGTTTGTGCATAAGAAATTAACTGGTCACTATTTATTGATTTTCTTATTTCTAACTGTGTATGATTTTGTGATGTTTCCTGGAGGATTAGCGTGTCTTATGTTAAATGGGTATAGCTTGTCATTATCAACTATATACAATCTATATCATGGATATTTATTTGACATGCTCGATTTAAATATAGTCTCAGTACTTATTTGATAAAATTTTACTAATATTTTAATGTAGAACATATTATTGAATAGATGGAAGAATAATTGGATAAAAATGGGAAAAAAGTAATAGTGGCGAGAAAATTATTTGAATTTTGATTTGGGTCCACAAGACCATTCCGAAAAGAGAATAACGAGACGAGTAATACTCATCGTTATGCCATGATGTACGATGAATTTCGGCTTTTCAAGTTCGTTTAAGACTCGAAAACTAATTTTTAAAGTTTTAACGTTATTTCTGTTATTTACTTTATTTTAAATTCTTTTCAATTTTAGTAATTTTAAACCAAGTTTACGTGTAAACCCTTTCATTGTATTGTTCATCTTTTCATTAATAAAATTTGTGAGTTTATGCTCTTCATAATTTGAGGGATTTCAAATTTTGGGATCTTAACGTTTTCGTTTAAATTCTTTGTTTGGTGTTGCATCATATTTTTATTTACTTTTTAAATATTAAAACTTCAATTTTAATTACACATTTCATGAGATTCCAATTTTTATTAACTTTTCAGTCTCACATTTCACCATCTTTTACATATATTAAGGATTAATGAATCCTTAAATTATATCATTCTATATTGTTACGAATTTTTTTGCTATTATGGAATCTTGTAGCATGTTTTACAGGACTGACTAGATAACATATTAAACAAAAATAAATATATTTAGTATATTATAGTCTTTATTATTAATGTCTAATACCTTACGTACCAATCATGCACATTATTTTTTATTTTTGTTTTTAGTAAAATTTTCACCTAAACTTTATTTTCACTGTCCAAAGACGCATCCCCTTGTCTGGAAAGGTTGATTGCTCAAGTCATTTCTATATATAGTACAAAGCATTCTGAAATTTTAGTGATGTTAACTTGAGATTGTTATCGATGTGACCTTTGATTAATTGGTGATAAGAAGGCCCGTGTCTAAATTCTTGACTTTCATTGCACTTGGGTTTAAAGCCAAACTAAGTGGTCCAACCCACTATGTGTTCAGACAAAAAAAATGTTCAACTTTTTCTGCTTGTACAGAAGTTGTGTTGTCAAGTATTGTCTAATAGGAAATTGACATATGTATTTGAATAATTCAATAAACTAAAAAAGAACACAAAGAAATACATGGTTCGGCGCCAATGTAGCAACCTACATCCACAGGAAAAGAGAGAGCTCATATATTATTCACTTATGTTAGGAGCTTACAATGAAAAATATATAATTACATTACATCAAGGTTGCCTTATTAAGGACGAGGCAGTCAAGGAAAGAGAATAACGAATTATGGAAATCTTTCAAAACATGATTGTGCCATAATATTCTTCAATATTCGCAAATCCTTCAAATATCATCAAATATCTCTCTTCTCCAACACTCTCCCTCAAGTTGGTGCGAAAATATCGATAGAGCCCAACTTGGACAATATCTCATGAAATCTGGTAGTGGACAAGTCTTTGGTAAAAATGTCAGCTAATTGTTCATACTACGAACAAAGGGAATACAAATAACCTTGGCTTGGTTTTTTTTCTCGTATAAAATGACAATCAACTTCAATGTGTTTTGTCCGTTCATGAAAAACTAGATTTAAAGCAATGTGAATAGTAGATTGATTATCGCAATACATCTGTGTGGGTTGTGACGAGCCAAATTCCAAATCTTTTAGCAAAGATCGAAGCCAAATAATTTCACTTGTAGTAGAAGCCATTGCTCGATACTCAGCTTCAGCACTAGAGCGTGCAACAACATTCTGCTTTTTACTCTTTCATGTCACCAAATTTCCTCCAACAAAAGTGCAATACCCTATTGTAGATCGTCTGTTAATAGTATTGCCAGCCCAATCCGCATCTGTGTATGCAGTAATAAGAGAATGACCATTCTTATGCATCCATATACCTCTTCTAGGTGACCCCTTAAGATAATGCAAAATTCGATTAACAGCATCGAATTTTGTGCAGTAATAAGAGAATGACCATTCTTATGCATCCATATACCTCTTCCAAGTGACCCCTTAAGATAATGAAAAATTCGATTAACAGCATCCATATGTGCAACTTGTGGAGAGTACATAAAACGACTAATCAGGCTGACAGTTTATGAGATATCGGGTCGAGTAATTGTGGTAAATCAGTCTGCCCACCAATCTTTGAAATCGACCCACATCAGATATCAGGTCGCCATCAAGTTCTAATCTTAAATTATACTCATAGGCGCTTGAGCTGGCTTGATACCTAATTTACCAGTATGTTGTAACAAATCCAACACACATTTTCTTTGATTGAGAAATATGCCCTTCTTTGAATATGCAATCTCTAGTTCGAGAAAGTATTTCAAAATTCCCAAATCTTTAATAGAAAATTGAGTATGAAGAATATTTTTGAACCTTGATATTTCAACAAGGTCATCACCAGTAATAACTATTTCATCAACATAAATCAAAACAATAACAGTACCACTCATACCTCTTTTCACGAACAAGGAAGAATCGGCATTACTTATCTTTAAACCATTATTGATAAGAACGTGACTGAGTTTGGCGTACCATGCACGAGGTGATTGTTTAAGACCATATATGAATTTTCTTAATCTGCATGTGAGATCACTACGATCCTCCAATGGATGACTAGGAGGTATACTCATGTAAACAACTTCTTCAAGATCACCATGTAGAAATGCATTCTTTACATGCATCTGAAACAATTTCCAATCATGATGGATGGTTAGAGATAAAAGAACACGAAATGTGTTCATTTTGGCTACTGGAGCAAATGTCTCATTGTAATCAACTCCATAAGTTTGAGTAAAACCCTTGGCAACAAGACGTGCTTTATGTCGTTCAATAGATCCATCACTTCAAAACTTTGTTTTATAAACCCAATGACATCCTACTGCCTTCTTTACTGGAGGGAGTTTTACAATCGACCAAGTGTTGTTATCATCAAGGGCTTGTAACTCTTCATGTATTGCTTGTTTCCAAATAGGACTAGAATTTGTCTGTCCAAAGTTATTCGACTCTTGAGTTGAAGTAAGGGAAGTTAGAAACGCTGAATGAGAAGCAGAAATATTGGAGTATGATAGATGAGCCTGTATAGGATGACTTACGGCTTCGTATGTAACAAAGTCCTTTAATTTTTCTGGAGCTTTTAATATTCTATTTGACCTTCTAAGAACCTCTTCTGGAGCATCTGGTCCATGTTCTGGTGACAAAGAACATCCGGTGTCCCTACTGTTTCCATCTTGTTCAGTTCTTTCTATATCTCCATTTTGTACCGAAGTTTCATTTCGGTTAGGGCTTGTAATGTTGAAAGAAAAATGTCCATATAGTGGGAAGCAGAAGCAGATCATTCAAACTCTCTCTCTGAGGTAAATTCTTATTCAAACTTTGTGCTGTAAAATAAGGTTCATTCTCAGAAAACCGCACATCCCGTGATACAAATAGCTTCGAGATTGAGGATCATAGCATACATATCCTTCTTTTGTTGAAGAATATTCAAAGAAGACACATCGAATGGAAAGAGGATCAAGTTTATCGCGATGCAGAGACTGGTGGTGCACATAACAAACACAACCAAATACTCAGAGGTGAGACACGTTCGGTTTTCTCCCTTTTAAGGCTTCAATGATGACTGAAAATGGATAACACGACTTGGGAGCCTATTCATCAAGTAAACTGCTGTTAGAACTCCGTGTGACCAAAATTTCTTCGAAATATTCATTTGAAGCATGAGAGCTCTCGTAATCTCCAGAATATGTCTATTTTTTTCTTTCAACCACTCCATTTTGTTGGGGTGTACCAATACAACTAGTCTGATGAATAATGCCCTTATCACAAAGGAAAGCAGGAAGAACACCCTTTGCAAATTCAGTTCTATTGTCCAAAAGGAAAACTTTGATTTTACTATCAAATTGAGTGGCCACCATGCTACGAAATCCTTTAAAATAGGGTAGACTTCATTCTTAGATTTCAACAAATAAATCCAAGTAGCACAAGAATAATCATCAATAAACAATACAAAATATTTAAAACCATCATATGAATCAATCCAACATGGGCCCCATAAATCAGAATGAATTAACTCAAAAGATTTAACAGACATAGATGACGAATTATTAAATGGTAGACGAACTTGTTTGGAAAACTGACAAATGTCACAAACATGTATTCCAAGAGATATAGATGATAAAACACGACTAGAAGGATGTCTGAATCTTTGATGCACAATATGATATTCTAGCATGGCACTATTAAGAGAAGTGGCATCGAATGGTTTCAACAGATAAAGTCCATGTGATTATACACCTTCACCAATCTTCTTCCTCTAAGTTCGATCCTGAAATATAACATCATTAGGAGAAAAGATAACATT